TCCTTTTCATCCCAACAACTTCATTCATGTTCTACTTTTCCTTAGTTCAGTTCAGGAAATCTTTATTAATGTAAAAGAAAACACAAAATCTTATTTTATATCGTCATTGAAGTGGGGGGCAAATGTAAGGCGTGCTCTGCTTCTCCCCTGAAATCCACATTTATGGCTGTGACTATATTAACCACAGACACCGTGTTCACGGTGACTCAAGCAACTTTCAAGTCTCTGCATGTTGAATTTCAAAATGTACTGAGAGGAAGCCTGAAAGGAAGGTGAAGTATGTTCAGATATCTCTGGAAATCAGCCAGCAGAGTGCAAAACATGTAGAATATATACAAAATGGGTGATGAAGGACAGACTAGGGGAAGAAAAAACAGCATATATGTGTGAAAATTAATTTAGAAGCCGTGTTTTCTGGTGAACAAAGTACAGCGTGTTCTCTGCAGTTTTGCTGAATGCGACTTTCAAACTATGTCAGCATGTTAGGGACTTTGTGACCTTTTAACCAGAAAGGAGGAAGTTGTAGAGATTGGAGACCTAAGAAAGTGCATTTACATGAATAAGTGTCTGTGTGTGAGCATGTGTGCTTCTCTACTGAGGACTAGATTATTATGATAAGCAAATTACAAGTTGTTGCCACATTACTGCTGGTTCCTCATATTTTAGGTCATTTGCTGGCTTAAAATAAAAGTACCATGTAATTCAAACAGGGTGGTCTCCTGCACTTGACTGAGTGTGGTGAGTTTCTTTTAATCTCCTATAGAGCCGTGCATCATTAAAACGGCATGAAATCCTCTGCAATAGGTCTTGGCTGCTGGGGGATTCCCATGATGCATTGAGTCGTCACCTTTTTCATTCACCAAGTGTTTATAGGGAAGTCCTTTTCCATTAGGTGAAGAGCAGCTAAAAAATATAAATAAATGACGGGTCACGGTAGCCAAGAAGTTCAAAACTCATTTAGAAGATGCATTAAATAACATTGAGTTACAATATATTCACATGTGCAGAAATGGATGTTCTAGCACCAACCATCACAGAAATCCCTCTTTTCACTGGTTGTGTCTCGCTAAAAAAGGCCTTCTTACTGCATATAACTCCTCCGCCATATCCGTCAACCAGTTCTACGAACAATTCCAGGGCCAGTCTGTTTGGAGTCTGTCTGGTTTCTCGATCCCGTTGGTCTGCCGAAGCTCTGCAGTCATCATGCTTGTGCCAGTTGTGTACATGCGCCATGACTCCTCTCCTCTGACTGCTCTCACCTCCCTACTTTTATGCAGCGTGAGCAGGTCTGGAGAATTCCTTTGATAAGGTGTGGGTTGGAAGTAAAAACAAATACTTCAAGATAAAAGCATGCAAAATATATTCAAACATGCATAAAACCATACTATAACACCAATAAAAGACAGAACAAAGCATTAAAACGACTTCTTCCCCAAAACACATATACGTCTGCATTTAATTATTAGTTATACTGGCTTTCTTCAGAGCATGTCTTTGTCCTGTCTTCCTCCCCTAACTCTACGCCTGCTTCTGCTGGAGGTTTCTTCCTGTTAAAAGGGAGTTTTTCCTTCCCACTGTGGCCAAAGCGCTTGCTCATAGAGGTCATCTGATGGTTGGGTTTTCTCTGTTTTCTTTGTATTATTGAAGGATGTTTACCTTACAATATAAAGCACCTCGAGGCGACTGCTGTTGTGATTTGGCACTATATGAATAAAATTGAATTGAATTGAACTCTTAGCATGTCCCTGCTGCAACTTGCAGTCTTTTATTGCAATCAAAGTTTTTATTATCTAATATGTGCATGATTGTTTCAAGAGATTGGATGCTGTATAAAATGTAAGAATATAATAGTCCTTATTTATCATGTAGAAAGAGCAGCCCAAATGTTTTCCCCACATGTACTACAATTACTAAACTTTCTAGACATCGCCTCATCAGGCATTAAACATTTACCCGCCAGCTCCATGTTACAAATTTAGCATCTGGCATATCTGATTGCACTCATGTGAGAACAGAACAGGTAACTCTCTGGTAAGTTCACGCTGAATGAGCGCGCGTCATGTGTCCTGCCCACTGTGGGCTGTACCCAGGCAGCACCCACTCCTAGACCAAATACAGTATTTTCAGTAGTTCTAACATATCTGAGGATGGCTCTTGTCACACACTACATGTCAACTTAACAATGATCTAGAAAATAATACTCAATTCAGAAAACAGGCAACAGAATAGTCTGATCCTAAAGACATGTGGTGTTGGGGCCGGGCTTTAAAATGGATGTTTTTAAACTTATTTACTGTCACAATATCTGAAACACTTTGGAATTCCTGACAAAAAGGCTAACATATAAGATGCTGATTTTCCCTTTTCACTGATTTGATGAAGTAATACAGAAAGACAACTTGCACTGCCTTCTTGGTGAGACCCATCAACAAGTACAGTTTTGTGAGGCTTTCTCCAAATCAGTGTCATACCAACAACTCCCTGATGCTCAGTCACAAATAGATGTTCAGTCTATCATGGCCTCTGGACAACAGGTTATGTGTACTCATGAAATCTGACTGTCTGATTGTGCAGTGAGAGCTAAGATAAGATAAAATAATATAAGAAAAGATAAGATAAGAAAACTTATAGTTTGTTTATCCCAGATTTGGGAAATTGTGAGAAGCTATCTTTAGCTTTATCACCAATTAAACACCAGACTCTGGTACAGCAGTTGACTCAAGACAGACAAACAAGATGCAGCAGAAAAAACACACACATGTTTTGCTTTTCATTACAATTATAGAGATATATGTTCGATAATGTGCAGCTCAAAGACTAAGGACTATTTCAAATGATTTTATACTGTTGGATGTCAGTCCTGATTCACACATATGCACAATCGTGGACATTAAGTCTGTTTGATCTGGTGACTGAATAGTATCTAACAAAGCATGCAATAGATTGTGACCTGTCTACAGTTATCTGTATCACTCTTATCCAATGGATGATCATGTCCCTAATCAATAGTTTGTGAGTCCCTGATGTGTAAAATATGAGGAGCATTTGCTTGCCTAGATCCCTCACCCAGAACACGGAGATGAAGAAGTTGTGAATGTGTAAAAATAATATAAATAAGTCTGTAAAGATTACAGCAATACACATATACATTCAGGTATTTTTCTAACTTACACATTCACCTAAATATTATATAAATGATTAGAAGAATTTAAAGTTGTTCACAATGATAAACATTAGGGCACATACCCCAAAACCTTCTAATTTTTTATAATCTTATCTTAGGTTTCTAACCGAGTTTATGCTTTCCATTGTTTGTTTGTTTTAAATAAAAATGCATTTAAAATATATATTTAAAAATACGCCTAATTTCTACGGTTTTATTCAGAAGCTCCTTTTCTAAATGACGCCCCAGTTATTTTTTTTCCATCCCCTAATGAGAACTTACGGGCACGGCCGGGTCAGTGACCGCGCACGCTGCCTGTTTATCTGTATGAGAGGTCCTCGGGAGCGCGCCCCCCCTGGCCGAGGAAGGTGAGCGAGTGTCTGGAGGGGAGGACTCGGGAGCGCGACCAGCCGAGGGATCGATCGGATTAAACTCGATTTGAGTGAAATTAACACAAAGGAGAGAAGAGCAACGCACAGTAGTCGGCGAGGTCGCGGATGCGAGATACGCCGGAGAAATAATTCATGAAAAGCACGAAACTTGAACTTTTTTCCCTCTGTTTATTTATATTTCAAACTGAAAAGGACCACCGTGGATTTTTTTCAAGCAAGCGGAGATACTAACCCTACTAACGAGGAGTTGATTTGATAAAGAGCCCGAAGTGACCGAGCTTGTTGGGTAAGCTAACAAATGTCCCTTTTCACTGAGTGCATTTAAGAAAAAATTCGAACAGATTTTGGCACAAGTGTAATGCTTCCATAATAACACAGGGTCCTGAATTAAAATCGTTTATATTCTTTCTGAATAGCAAGTTTTCCATACTTTTTCAGCACAATCGGACTCTTTAATCCACCCAGTGAGTTGTGGTTTTTAGACCGACGAGCATTTCTTTCAGGGCAAACTCGCGGGAAAGGTTCTGTTTTAGACTGCAGGTTTATTTCGCATCTGTTTTATTTTTTTCTTTCAGTAGAAAGTCATTGAAGGTCCGTGTAGCTGCCATGCCGACATGCTAACAATAGCAAGTTTAGCTTTGCCACCCGCAGCATCGCTCACTCACACAGACGCACAACAGTCCCATTAGTTAGTTGAAAAGTGGAAAGAAAAATGTCCAGCACAACACTGAGAGCCTCGTAGTTTCTGAGTCAGTTCCTCAGACAACTTATCGTCCTGTGTAATATAAAACTTGGACTTAGTTCATTTTTAAAGTGTGAGTGTTAGCCCTGTTAGCTAATTGTGTTGAAGCTTCTAGGAGACACGAGGTGGCTCGAGCGTAGAGGTGAGTCACTAGCCGACTGAATGAGCGGAGCACCGAGGGAGATTCCCAGCGGAGAATACTTGGCAGAAATCTCCAAAAACGCCGCACACTGGCTCAATTGCACCATTTAACAATGAAAGTATAAATAATAGTTTGATTTCAATAGAATTGTAGTGTTTTGTGGTTAAGGGGACAGTGTTAAGAATGTGTAGTAGTCGGTAGTTTTATTGGACGAAAGGGACAGAGCAGTGGAGGAGAGGAGGGGGGAAGCTGTGAGGCCAGGCGGTCATTCCATACAACCGTGTTTTTCTTGTTGTTTTTACCATGCCTTGTATTATCAAAACACTTTGGAATGTGCTGAAAAAATTGTCCTACTCGTGTACAGCTTTGGAGTGGCGGAGAAAGTATTTTACTTTAACAAAAAAAACGAGATGAGCGAATCGTTCCCTGGTCCGAAACGACGTGCGAAATACCGCTGATAGGCTAATTAGCTTTGCTAGCCGCTGGAGGTTGGCCCAGCGCTAGGACACAGAAGTTCAGCTAGCCTGCTAGCCAGCTCTCATCCTCATTGTGTACGGGCAAAGACCACTTATTAGCCCCCCCGGGCTAGCTACTAACCTGCTCGAAACGGTTATCGATCAGTGCATAGCTCTTGGGCAAGGGAATTAACTTTGCTTCTTTTTTCACTTCACTTTTTGACGAGGTAAAAATGCAAAGTTACATTACAGATCCTCCTTAGGTCTTTCCGCCTTTCGGCTTTTGTTAGGAGCACTTGTTTGTTGTGTTACATTGTATCCGGCGACCGAAGTTTGGTTACACTTACGACTACACTTGTTACTCGATGTGGAAGGGGAAAAAGGCAGTCCTAAACACCTGCCCTTGTAGTTCCACTGACACATCTTTACCTTAAACTAAAACCGTATTTTTTTCTTTGTACAGTCTTAACTTAATTGCGTGTATTTCTTGCGCTATCCTGTTCTCTTTCCCCATTATGTGTTCTGTAATCGGCCAACTTGCATAATGGTCACCCTGCCGCTCTCACGCAACTCTGGCACTAAAATCTCTGGAAAATAACCGAGCTTGGTCCCCCCTCAGAAACACGCGCTCGTTTTCTATTCGTTTTTACTTTGTGATTTTAGTCAGTGCGACACATTTCAGTGAATTTGTGCTGGGTCTTTTTTTCCTCCCGTTTCCCATAGAGGCAGGAGCTGCTATACCCCCACCACTACCACCTTGTGTCTTTGAGCCAAGATGGCAGCTAGTCATGTTTAGCGGGCCACAGAGGGAGAGATAAGAGGCCCTGACCACACACACACACACACACAACAGATGCTCAGCACTATTTGGTCTCTCCCCTCTGTCTATCACTGCCCTTTTTTGTGGTAAAATTTGAGCCCCCCTCCCAGCTGCAAGGCTGACTTAGTTTGCTAGAGACAGTTAGTCTGGGCTAACCTGAGACTTTTACACAGTTAGATTCCCCTCCCTTTGACAACGTGTGCAGAGGTGAATGTTTTAATTTTGCACATATTTAGATTGATTTACTAAAGTAGACACAATGGTTGTTATTTTTTAGAGTAGCCCTTTTCCCCGTTTAAATAGTTCAGACTTAAGTTTGAAGTTTGTGGAAGTCATGCTGATTACCCTCGAGTTGTCTTAATTTTGGCTGGTGAGTGTGCATTATTCATTTAAAGAGCCAAATAAAACAGCCATTAACATTTGAAACTTTATGAAGCAAGTTGAAGGTAAATCTGTTTGTCGCATTGTCATAAACTCTCTGTTCCACTAAAAGCACAAAGCAGAATCTGCCCTCGTCTCATTTTTAACTCTAAAAGATGGAGATTCTGTGAGATTGAGGAGTTTTCTGTTTCCTATTTTTGGCAGTGGTCCCAGCATGGCCACATCTAGGGAAATCCCTGTCACCTTACAGTGGGGCTAAGATTGGGGCATACACCACACATACAGTGAAATGCAATTTTAAGATAGCTCTGCTCAGAATGATGCAATCAAATTTCCGTGCTTATAGCTGTACACTGATGCTCGTTGTCGCCATGTATGCCCTCCCCCATTATCTATATTCAGTGATTTTTAATGAACATCTGTCTGTGCAACTTTACCCTGATCCATTATTTTAACTTTGACACTCTTTGGAGCAGGTGTCCATCAGTTTGTCATGATTTTGAATAAGCCTCCTCCCTGTTGTTGTGGTCTATGAATCATTAGTGTGGTCAGTGTTGGTTATCTGGACATTTCACTTTTGGTGTGCAATCATCTGATGACCTTTTCACCGGCTCTTGCTACTTTCATGCTGTGAAGAATAGTTCAGATTAATATGGCTAAACTTACACAAGTGTAAGCAAAAGTGACAGACGAGGAGAAACTAAAGACAAACGAGAGGAGAAATCAGAAGTAAACTTGTTGGCATGTGGGAGAACACTGACATTTTTGTATTATGCTGGTTAAAGTGACATTTGTTAACATATTGGGCCTTCCTCTCTCAGTTTAATGTACACATGATTATTGAGAGGATGGGAAATCTGGATGTAACAAGTTCATAATTCCTCAGCCTCATTTCTCAAAATGCTAAAAAGCAACTTTAATATCAAAGGCGCATTTTCACTTTCAGCATTGCACCTACTGTCATGAAGTGATTTTTGTGTCTGACTTAATGCATTAGCACCCACTCTCTTGGTCTGTCGAAGTGTTGACGTTATCTTACACACTCAGTGGGGTTAACAGTGCAAATAAAGTATTGACCACAAAAAGGAAGTGCTAGATTCTTGCCTGTGTTGCAATTAAATCTGAGTGTGAAGCAGAGTGACTTGTCTGGAGGGTGATCTTGATTTGGCACGTGGGGTGCTCTTCAGTGGCTCTTTAAAAGCTCTGTAAATGCATTTTAGTGTGAACGTTCCTCCCTGTCTTGATTTGTGTTCACTTGCCTGCAGGTTGGCCAGGTGATCTATGAAGCTGCCTCTGCAGACTCACTCGTCCCACACTCACAGACTCCCATTGTAACCAGTAACTGGTTTATCTAAGCCTCGTTTCCACTAGTACTGCCTCGACTCTACTCGGTTTTTGGTTGTTTTCCATTTCAGTAGAGTACCACCTAACGTGGTCTATGCAGCTGAAAGTTCCAAGATGCCATTTGTCACATTTTCCGATCTACTCAGCTCACTTGGAACCCCAGCAAAGCAGGTACTAAAAAAGTACCTGGTACCAGGTAATACTACCAAATGGAAAACCCCAATAGCTGACTAGGTACTAGTGAGAAAGGGCTCCTAGTGAACTGAAAATGTTTTAAGGGACTCACTGGAGAGGCAGCCGAATGACAGAAAGGACCAGGCCGGCTTGAAGGTAGGGAAACATCAGATAGCGTGGGCTTAGCTGTGGGCAGCTGGTTAGCAGCACCTGAACTTTAAAAACAGAATACTTCATAAATAAATTATAGTGAGATACAAAAACAGATTTTAAACAGAAGATGGAACGGTGTGCAGAGAATAGTATCAAGTAGACCAGCATCATAAAAGAGATGTTTTAGTGGGAGATATGCAAATCACTCCAGTTGGTCAGCACTTTCAGAATAAAATCAGTAAAAAGTGGAAGCAGAAATGTGTCATTTGCTACCTTTAGTCCTGAGATAAGTTGTAATGCCCCAGCTGATGTTTTTCTGGACAGTAGTGTTAAATGGAATAATAATGAGAAATCGAAAAGAAAATTCTTACAATATTTTAAGAGAGCTGACTTGCAGTTAGTAAACAATGGGTCTTCTGGATTTTAACCTATGCTCGCAGGAAACGCTTCTGTAAGTTTCAGTGAACAGCCTCCAGTTAATCTCTAGACACACGCTGCGTAGTACAGATAACCTCTGGTTGAACTGTAACAAAAGCAAAATGTATATAATGTTTCTGATGTAGATATGATTTATAACTGAAGATGAGTTATCTTCACAAATTCTTTGTAGAAGTGGAGCTTACGAGAAAAATAACTTTTTCTCATGTATTAAAGAACAGCTGCTTGTTTATGGGAACGTCTGTGGCGTTAAGAGCTGATGCATTGCAGGCATTGTTGAAATCCATTTGAGGTCAGCGGAGGTTTCGCTGTAGTTATGTAGTTGAAAGTAATGATGAAAAGCACTCACTCTCTCTCACTGGACACACAAGCGCACATAAGATGGATGACACTGATTGCCCGGCCAAAACTGAACTGAGTGGATTGTGTGCAGGTTAGCTAGCAGCAGGTAATGCAGCACACTGGACAATCTGGTGCTGAAAGGTTGCTGTTGGGTGTCTGAATCAGATTACTGTTGTTTGTTAGGGGGGCCATTTTGTCTCCTATCATCATGTGTCATAGATGGCACTTCTGTTGGTGGGGATGAGAAGTGGTGCTGTTGTTTGCCTCCATCTCTTTCATCTTCGCTATCTATTGC